CAAGAATGAAAAATTCACATTTGGTTGTCATTAAAAGAGTGGCAAAAAGAAAAAAAAAAAGACCAAGCTTAAATATTCATTTCTTAAAAAAACTTTTCTTGACATTTCTTCCTTACTCCGACCATTTTTTTCATTTCCCTTTTTCTCAGAAAAGAGCTATCGTGACTTGTGAGTTGGTTGTGACATTAATTCAGGAAACTTTATATACAGCTTGCAAAGAATTTTGTGTATTTTTCTTTTCTTTCCTTTAAAGAACATGGATTTTTGTTATGAAAACTTAAAAATATATGTGGAGAAAAACTGGAATTAGGAATCTCTATACATACATTGGCCAGATTCAGCAGTTATCAGAATTTTGCCACATGGTTTCTTTTTTATATCTAGAGTTTATTTTGAGAATTTAGTTCTTTTGAGCAGCCCTGTTTTCTTGTCATCAGATCACACTGCTTTCAGTTAAGCTCCTTTTTAAAATACCAATTCTTTAAAAATAGAAAATTCATGAGCCTTCAGATTTCTAAAGTGTTCTTTCGTTGAATCCTGCTCCATATTTTACATACCATCTCCTTTTGAAACCTGGCTAGAGATTTTAATAACTTGTCCGACCTGACATTTTCTGGATAGTGAATACTTAGTAGATTTTCTCACTTTTTAAGTTTGCATTTTTTTCAGTATTTCACAGAATCACAGGTTTTCAGAATTTGAAGAGATAAGGCTAATTAGCTGATGAGTTCCCATCATAGGTGAAACAGAAAGATTTGATTTTGAACTATTTATAATACCTTCAATTAAATTTAAGCCATCGGAGAAACATTGATTTAAAATCTGAAAAAAAATTATGGTGATTAATACATGTTCTTTGTAGAAACTAAAGAAAATACAAAAAAATATGAAGATGAAAAATTAAACATGTCTACTAACTAAAATCGCCTACTCAGAAATAATTGTATTTTGGCATATTTCCTTCTGCCTGCTCTATATTTAATGAAATGAGTACAAACTTATTATTTCATATTCTAAATATCTTTCTACATACGCATTTTTATGTTACGAGCTATACTTTGGTGACCTACGGCATACTGGGCACAGGTTGTAGAGTCAGCAGAGTTGACGATCAGGTCTAGTCAAAGTTACCTTTGCAAATCTCTAAGTCATGAGTACCTTTGTAAGCCTGAAATCCAATAATTTTCTAATTCTGATCTGTTTGCATTTTGGGTGTGGCTTCCGTTTCCATCCCTCTCCCTGGGAGTGAGGGAGGAACTGGTAGTTCAGCAGTAGGGGAAAGTTGTCCTCTTGTCATTTATAGCCTAGGTGGGGGAATTAAATTCTGCTAAAATGTAGCTCCAGATTATTACCAGATTGCTTTGCTCCCCCAAGGCCCGTGATTTACACTCTTGGCATGTATCCAGGGGTGATAATAAAACATTTAACAGCCTCAAAAATTCTGACCAGAAGCTTCCTGCGTGCCAAAATTTCTGAGGTGGAGAGCGAGGGAAATGATGGTTGGGCAGGTTGAGGGGGTATCTCAGAGAAGTTGTTGTTTAACAACAGGTATGTAGGTATTTCAGTGTTGTAACAACTGGTGTGGCTGAAACAGTAAGTGGAATGTTAGCCTGAGAACGGGCAGCAGCACACTAGATTGATGCATAAAAGGTACGAAAGTGGGGAAGAGCATGGATTCCAGGTTCGAACACTGACTCCACCACTGAGGACCTGTGTGACGATTAGCCAGTTATTTACCCTCTCCATGCCTCAGTTTCCCCCTTGGTAAAATGACAATATTATTAGTTCCTATTTTGTGAAGGTTGTTGAGAGAATTGTATGAATTTATGAAGTTTGAAGAATAATGCCTTTCACTAATACTCTGTGTGCTTGTTAAATAAATTTCTTTCCTCTCCACCCTGTCCCCCCATCATGCAGACTCCAAAGGAAACTTTCCACTTCTTCAAATTAGTCTTTCCTTTCCTTGATTCAACCCGCAAATCATAGCTCCATCAGCCCATACACGTTGTAGCTATAAACATTGCCAGTTATGAATTTTACAGTAACTTATGGATTATTACTGTGGTCAGTGGAGGTAATGAGGGACTCACACAATTTTCTATTCATAGTTTAAAGGGATAATGGATAGCTATGAAGTCAAACAAAATTTAGATTAAAAGTTGGCACACATGGAAAGTGAGAAATACAGTTTGGAATCCCATTACAATTTTGTATCTTTCTCAGTTCAAGAAGTTAGAATTTTTGATTACGAAAAATAGATCAACTTTGAAATAGCAGAAACAGCAAATTTTTTAATTTCAAAGAAGCTATGTTGGCTAACAATTTAGTGAACTTGGTGCAGGAAGTGGCACAATAACAACTCAATCATTTTTCTAGAATTATAGGCTTCCCCTCCCCTTGGTGAGGCAGAAATTGCAACATTTTTAATGATCCATGTTGGAAAATGATTGTAAGATTTTTGCTATTGCTTAATTTTTACTGAACCCAGTTTGTTCCTGAATTATCAACATATGTGCTATTTTAGCTATTTAGACTACTCAGTGTTTGTATTAATTAGTTTCCTGTATTGCTGCTCTAACAAGTTATGTAAACTTAATTGCTTAAAACAACGCAAATTTATTGTCTTACCGTTCTGCTGATCAAAAGTTTAAAACAAAGGCACCTTCTGGAGGCCTGGCTCATAGCCGGCTTTTCCAACCTCAAAGCCAACAGTGTCACATCTTCTCTTTCTGACTCTGCTTCTCTTTGTTTCTGTCCTCACGTTGCCTTCTCTCCTATCTAACTTTGTCCTTCCTGCCTCCCTCTTATAAAAACCCCTGTG